CGTAGAATGAATTTGGAAGTTCTCCCTCTTTTTCTATTTCCTGAAATAGCTTGAAAAGTATTGGTATTAGTTCTTCTTTAAAGGTTTTGTAAAACTCTGCTGTATACCCATCCAGTCCTGGGCTTTTCTTAGTTGATAGTCTTTTCATGGCTTCTTCTATTTCCTCAATTGATATTTTTCTGTTTAGGTTGTCTATATCCTCCTGACTCAATCTGGGCAGATCATATGACTTAAGAAATTTATTGGTGCCTTCACTGTCTTCTATTTTATTGGAGTATAAGGATTCAAAATAATTTCTAATTATCTTTTGTATTTCTGAAGTGTCTGCTGTGATATTGCCTTTTTCATTCCATATGCTAGTAATTTGAGTTCTCTTTCTTCTTCTCTCCATTAGCATGGCTTAGGGTCTGTCGATCTTATTTATTTTTTCAAAGAACCAACTTTTAGTTTTGCCAATTTTTTCAATTGTTTTTTTTTTTGTTTCGATTTTATTAATTTCAGCTCTGATTATTGTATGGTGGTCTATTAGACTCTTGAACTTGAGAAGAATTTGTTTGATGAACATAGCTGCACCATTGTTTGGGGCATATATATTTATGATTGTTATGTCTTGTTGGTGTATGGTTCCCTTGAGCAGTATGTAGTGTCCCTCTTTATCCCTTTTGATTAACTTTGGCTTGAAATCTATTTTATTTGATATGAGTATGGACACTCCTGCTTGTTTCTGATGTCCATATGATTGTTATGATTTTTCCCAACCTTTCACCTTTAGTCTATCTATGTCTTTTCCTATCAAATGTGTCTCCTCTAGGCAGCATATTGTTAGATCTTTTTTTTTTTTTTGATCCATTTACTAACCTGTGTCTCTTAATTGGTGAGTTTACGCCATTAACATTTAGGGTTATTATTGAGATATGAATTGTTCTTCCAGCCATATTTGTTTATTTATGTTACTTAACATGGTTTCTTTTTTTTCCTCTTTGATTATTTTTTCCTTTACTGTACTACCTCCCACTGTTGGTTTTCATTGTTATTTTCCATTTCCTCTTCCTATAATGTTTTGCTGAGGATGGTTTGAAGAGATTCTATTCTAGCTGCAAATTCTTTTAACTTTTGTTTATTGTGGAAGGTTTTAATTTCATCTTCCATCTTGAAGCTTAATTTCACTGGATACACAATTCTTGGTTGGAATCCATTTTCTTTCAGCATTTGAAATATGTTGGTCCTGGATCTTCTAGCTTTCAGTGTCTGTGTTGAAAGATCAGCTGTTATCCTGATTGGTTTACCCCTAAATATAATCTGCTTCCTTTCTCTTGTAGCTTTTAAAATTCCCTCCTTATTCAGTATGTTGGGCATCTTCATTATAATGTGTCTAGGTGTGTAACTCTTATGATTTTGCACATTTGGCGTCCTGTAGGCTTCTAGGATTTGGGATTCTGTCTCATTCTTCAAGTCTGGGAAGTTTTCTCGTATTATCTCATTGAACAGATTGCTCATTCCTTTGATTTGACCTCTATACCTTCCTGTATCCCAATGACTCTTAAGTTTGATCTCTTTATGTTATCCCATATTTCTTGGATGTTCTGCTCATGGTTTCTTAACAGTCTCACTGAGCTGTCTATGTTCTTTTCAACTTGAAATACTTTGTCTTCATTGTCTGATGTTCTATCTTCTAAGTGTTCTACTCTGCTGGTAGTATTGTCATTTGAGTTTTTAATTTGGTTTATTGCTTCCTGCATTTCTAGGATTTCTGTTTGTTTTTTATAACTTCTATCTCCCTGTATAGTTGATCTTTTGCTTCTTGGATTTGTTTATGTAATTCACTGTCGAAGTGATCTTTCATTGTCTCATTTTGCTGTCTAATGTCTTCCTTGAGACTCCAGATCATCTGAAGCATGTATATCCTGAATTCTTTATCTGACATTCCATCTGCTGCAGATATTACCTCTTCTAACGTTGAGTTGAACTGCATTGCTTATGGTCCTTTCTTTCCTTGTCTTTTCATACTGCTTGAGTTTCTTTCTGCTTGGTGAAACTGTTGTGTTATTGAATTTTCCCCCTATATATTTATATTACTCTTGTATAGTTGCAAAGTCTCCGTTTTTTGGAGAAAGACAATGTTAACAGTTCTCAATATCAATAGAACTTCATCTAAGCACACGTTTTCCTTATTACTACATTTATAGCTAGACTCTATGTCTACAAATGTTGGTTTTGATTATCGTTTACATATATAGTCATTAGTTTCATGAAAGGCATACCATTTCTGGTAGCTTGAAGAAAACTGGATTTCATGTGTAGGATATTATGTTTATGGGGAAAGGAGTGAGGGTATGGGGTTAATCTAATTTAGTAACTTTGAAGAGCTCTAACCAATAGATGGGTAATTTATGGAAGAATGTATAGATTCAAATTCCTATCTGTCTTTATAAGATTACCCCTCTTATGAATAGTAAAATTTAGGGGGTTGCAAGTGGGATAGAGGGAGTAAGAGGGAGGAAAACAGATAACAAGGAAAGGGAGAGAAAAAAGGGAGCAGGAAAAAGAAAATATGAGAAAAAAGAAAAGGAATAAAAAGGGGGAAGGGAGGTGGGGCATATGCAATTCCTCTGTAGTATATTATTCTGGTGATTCAGTTGTTAAAGACCTTTTTCGTGTACAATTTTTGGTTTCACATATGTTGAAGTTGCGAAGACCCGAGGGGGAAGGGTAGAGGAGACTGGGTGAATTGCTGAAAAGATAGAGAGAAGAGAGAGGGAGGGAGGGAAGTGCTGGGGAGGGATATTAACCAAATTATACTATTATATTACGTATATGTACAAATATGTAACAACAAAAACCACCATTCTGTACAACTATAATGCCCTGATAAAAAAATGTGGAAGTTCAAGGCCAACCTCAGCAACTTAGTGAGACCCTGTCATAAAATAAAAAGGGCTGTGGATATAACTCAGTGAGAAAGCACCCCTTGGTTTAATCCCCAGTACCAAACAAACAAACAAACAAACAACAACAACAACAACAACAAAAACCGAAAAAACAAAGGTCCATGATGTCTGCAACTTATTTGTAGATGTTTAGTAATAATAATTGTGGGTGAGTGTGTGCAGAGAGAATACCACAAATTGTAAGAATTGGTGAATCTAAGAGAAGAATATACAGGAGTTCATCGTACCATTCTTGTAATTTTTTATAAATTTGAATTTTCTCCAAGATAAAGTAAAAAAGAAAATCATAGCACACATTCACAGAGCCCCTTTTAAACATTAATATTAAGCTTTTCCCAGAAGGAACTTTTGCATCCCTCTTGCTTTTGAGCCATTTTTGCTTTTCATTTTGAGTGTGTGGCATTCTTTTCCTCTGAGATCTGTGAAATGCCTGCCCTGTGTAAATCAATCATTGTTTCACAAAGAAAAGTGAGGCCTAAACATTAAAACTTTATGAAAGTCTGATTTTTTTAAATTCACAAATAATGCCAGATTTCATTAAAAGACTTCTTTTCTCTTCCTTCTAGTTGGTTGAAATGTTGGATATGTCTGTCCCTGCAGTTGCTAAATTGAGACGTCTTTTAGATAGTCTTCCAAGGGAAGCTTTGCCAGACATTCTCACTTCAATTATTCGAACAAGCAACAAAGAGAAACTTCAGGTATGGAGTGTTTCCTTCTTGAATGCCAGGTTGCAATGTTGCTCTTCATTTGAATCTAGATTATGAGTAGTCAAATTTTCATCTTCAAGAAAGAGATACTGGTAACTCAAGAAAGTAGTTAAAATGCTTTTGTACTTAAATTGACTTTCAAAAGTAGTTGTTTTATATTTTTAAACAATTGCACAAAGTGTGGAAGAAGTTGATTAAAGCAAAGAATTATTTAAAAAGTAAACATTTATTTTAAATATGTAAAACTGCTTTGCCACATTATTTTCTAAATATGTGGAGACTTTCTCACTGTACGGACCTGTTATATTAGAATACATCTTGATTTTTCTTATATAAATCACTCATAGGATGTATTATCTTTGATATTCAGTTACTATTTCTTTAAAATGAGTTTTGAAGATACTCGAAAAATAATCTAAGTGTAGAGTTCTAGATTTGCATGATTTAATCCTCAAGCTATAAAATTCTTGAGTTTTCCTTGCACACTTTTTTATGTATTTAAAGTGTTTTTACTGTATTTAGAGTATTTTTATTATATTTTAGAATATTGTTGCTAGTTTTTTTAATAGTCTATTTTATTGAATATTCTTGGAACACTTGTTATTTTTTTATTGAACACTCTTTTATTAACTTTACTTAGTACATAAATGCAACAATTATAATAGCAAGTACAACTAATAAAAACTGGTTGATGGTAGACACAGAGTGCTGGGTGGGAGCAGGAAAGTACAGGATTACTGAGGAGTCACTTGACTGTAGGAATTAGCAAGCATGTTGTTCTGAGGGACTGGAGAGTGGCTGCTATTTCAATAGATCATTGTGTAGTTGGTTAAGAATGCCACTATTCTCTTGTGTATAAAAATTTAATATTTTGAACCTAGAATTTTTTGAGGTCCAAAATGTAAACACATTCTTGTCTAAGAGAATAATTCCCAGAAAGAGTTGACATTGAACATGCGTTTGGTTCTTGATCTTAGAATATGGCTCCATTTTTAAATGAAAAACCAAGATTTTTTTGTTCGTACCTTTTTTTTAGGATTCTCATATTCATGTCAAATAGCCTGGCTGATTAATGTAGTTAATTTGGCTGTGTTAGTAACGGAACAGCTCTAATTACTGATAGGAATGGGTAAGGGATGTTTTTGGTTTTGGTGGGGTGAACATACCCTGGAGGTGGGCCAGACAGGCCCCATCACAAAACCCTTTAGAGAATGTAGAGGAAGAAGAGGAGGCTACAGTTGGAAGATGGTCGTGACAACCTATGAACTCAGAGGTGCAGGCTTGGGTGGGGGAATAAGGCCAGAGACCACACAGCTGGCCATGGAGCTGACCCCAAGAAGACCCTCCCAGCCTCCTAATGTCACCCTGATAGGACCATAAGAGCACACTACCAGGTGGATTCCATTTTGTTTTGTTTTGAGTTTTGCTCAGCTACCTAAGTCATAACTGTCTGTCTGTATTGGAGCATGTGTTTCAGAAAAAGAAGTATTATTAAATGACTCCCATTTTCTAGATTTTAGATGCTGTTAGCCTAGAGGAGCGATTCAAGATGACCATACCATTGCTTGTCAGGCAAATTGAAGGTCTGAAATTGCTTCAGAAAACCAGAAAACCCAAGCAAGATGATGATAAGCGGGTAAATATATCTTTTATTCTATTTTGTTTGGTTTTATGTGGAAATTTAATGTTAGCTTTTTTAAAAAAGAAAAACTTGAAAGCCAAGTGTGCATCTGTAGTCTCTGAGACAAGGAAGATCCCTTGAATCCAGGAGTTGGAGGCTGGTCTGGGCAATAGAGGAAGACCCTGTCACAAGAAACAAAAAAAGAGGGTTAGGAGACTGGGGATGTAGCTTAGTGGTAGAGTGATTACCCAACATGCACACTTGAGGAGAAGAAAGAACAATGAAGAAAAAAGCTCATTATCTCTGATGTAGACTTTGGTGTGTTTCCCTCTAGTCCTTTTATGTATGTACCATATTTTAGAAGTTAGCAAATACATATGATGAGTGTGTTTTGAGTATAGTGTTTTCTTATTACATATGGTATTAAGAACATAATACAAAAAGTGTTTACTAAAAGAACTGTATGTTGTGCTATAATTGTGCTGACTTGTTTTTAATTTATAAAAGTTTTAATTTTCACTTAAACTATTTTGTTGTCTTCTCTATTGAGTCCTTTGTCCTCTAGTAGCTTTATAAATATCCACTCCTTTTCATTTTCTTTTTAATTAATAATTCTTTTAAATTTTTTTAACTACATGACGGCAGTGGAAAACATTATAATTCTTATTACACATATAGGGCATAATTTTTCATATCTCTGTATATAAAGTATGTTCCACCAATTTATGCCTTTATACATGTACTTTGTTGTTTTTTTCATTATAATTCTTAATACACATATATACCACAATTTTTGTATCTAGTTTGTATATAAAGTATGTTGACACCCAATTCAAGTCTTCATACGTGTACTTTTATTGGATTTTTTTAAAAAGCACTTAACTCTTTAACTCATGTTAGTAATTTTGCCCTGTTAATGAATAGCAGTTGTATTTCCCTCAAGTAACTTTTATTTGGCTCAACACTATCAATTAAATATTTCTTTCCTTTCCATTATCATGTATCCATTAGGTTTTTATAGTGGGGTATTATTTGAAGTCTACCTTGAGCTATAGAGTTTACTATTTTTATGTCTGGGCAGAGTTAAGATGAGGAAGATATATTTGATGTGGACCAAATGTGAAAATGGCAGTTCCCTGAAAGCAGTTGGATATCCAGAACTCTGACAAGTGAAAGGTTAGAATAATGTTAGAGATTTGATGGTCACCAGCACTGTAGTGTTGCTCCTTCATCAAAGAGAATACATGGTAGAGAAGAGCAGATGTGAAGAACTCCCAAGGTGGGACTAAAGAAGCAGTAGTAGTCAGCTGAGGAGAGGTGTGAGCACCACGTGTTGTTTAGTATTTCAGGACACCATGCTGCTCAAAGCAAATGTCAGAAATCTGAATTAGTTCTGGCTTAAGATCCTATCAGTGACTCGCTTATTCATTTTGTGCAGAAAATCTAACCCATGTAATACTCTGCAATGGATTTTTTTATCAGTAAAGGTGAAATACTATTTTCTTTTTTAAGTTTTTTAAAAGTTTTTATTTATATATGACACTGTAATGCATTACAATTCTTATTACACATATAGAGCACAATTTTTCATATCTCTGGTTGTATACAAAGTATATTCACACCAATTCGTGTCTCATACCTGATAATCTCATACATGATAATCATGATCATCACATTCCACCATCATTTATACCTTCATGCGCCTCCTTTCCCCTTCAACCTCTCTGCCCCATCTAGAGTTCGTCTATTCCTCCCATGTTCCCTATCTCACTATGAATCAGCCTCCTTATATCAATCGGCATTTGTTTTTTGGGGGATTGGCTAATAACTTCACTTAGCATTATCTTCTCTAACTCCATCCATTTACCTGCAAATGCCATGAATTTATTCTCTTTTATTGCTGACTAATATTCCATTGTGTATATATGCCACATTTTTTAATCCATTCATCTATTGAAGGGTATCTAGGTTGGTTCCACAGTTTAGCTATTGTGAATTGTGCTGCTATAAACATTGATGTGGCTGTGTCCCTGTAGTATGCTGTTTTTAGGTCCTTTGGGTAGAGAACGAGGAGAGGGATAGCTGGGTCAAATGGTGGTTCCATTCTCAATTTTCCAAGAAATCTCCATACTGCTTTTCATATTGACTGCACCAATTTGCAGTCCCACCAGCAATGTATGAGTTTACCTTTTCCCCCACATCCCCACCAACATGAAAAGTGCTATTTTGTAAGGGGAAATTGCATCAAAAAGTGCTTTTGTCTCAACAATGAAATCACTAATGTATTTTTTTTAAATCTCACTTAAAAAATTTACTTATTTTTTTGTAATTTAAAATATTTTATTAACAAAATATTAATTTTATTTATTAATGACTTATATGAGAGTAAAAGTATATATTTAATACATTTTTATAAAATTACATTTTATTTACTACTATATGTTTTAAATTTTTAATATTTGAATGTATGAAATAGATAATTTCACAGGTAAAAATTTTAATTTTGGAGGATTTTAAATTAAATACCAGTATATCATTTTGTTCTAGTAATGGTTGGAGTTGATTCATAATATTAATGAATTGAGAATTTTAAAAAAAAACAGAAAGTACTTTTAAAATATGGCAGAAAAATCATGAAGAGAACATAAACAATGAACATTTGACTTGGCCTGGGACATGATTATTAGAAGATTATTGAAAGAACATGATTATTGAAAGAACAGTTTCAGCACCACAGGACAGAAGCTAAAGGCTTACTGATGACCTGTAATTGGTGAGAAAGGGGACATGGTAGTTATAGCCACTTGTTGGAGATGTAGAACATCACAGGAAAGGAAGTATATAGTGTGATGGTTAACTGGAAGGGGCCCATTAGTGAGCTACTTTATTTTGAAAGGAGGAAGATTTTTCTGTGTTGAAGACAGTGATAATAGAGCCAGGGGTGGAAAGGTTAAAGATTACAGATTTTGTAATGTAGGAGGAGGAAAAATGGAATTTATTCATCCACCAAATGTAAGTAATAATGAACACGAAGAAAATAATAGCTACAATAGTAGCTCAAGGAAAGGTGATTCATAGGTATTTTAAGTATTTCAAGTAGGCAGTTCCAAAAGAATCACATCCACTTTATTTTAGTTTACTTTTAAAATTCTGCTACATCTGCCTCTTAATTGTTCAGAAATTTAGTTCCTCAAGATATAGGCTGTGGCCATAAATGTGTTTATTCAGTATAAATCCTATACTTACCTTTAGCTGTGTACTTTGTTTCTAAATTATTTTGACATACAGTTTTCTTCTACTGCCTACTTAGGTTATAGCAATACGCCCTATTAGAAGACTCACACACATCCCAGGTACTTTAGAAGATGAGGATGAGGATGAAGATAATGATGATATTGTCATGTTAGAGAAAAAAATACGAACATCCAGTATGCCAGAGCAGGCCCATAAAGTCTGTGTCAAAGAGATAAAAAGGTAAATTATTGAAGGCATTAATTCACTAGTATTTTCTTTTTGTTTATAATGTAAAAGTAACAATTTTAAAACTTGATTCTGCTGCTTTGGATCACAAACTGAAATCTGAATCATTTGTTTTATATTCTCTGCTCTTTCTCTTTTTCTTATTCTTAATATACTCATAGATCACCTATCTTTCCATTGCCAACTTTTATCTTTCATGACTTTCCTAATTCGTGACTTATGCCTTTGTTCTTTGGAAGACTTCCCCTCTTTCATCCTTCCTCAGCAGAATATAATTCTTAAAACATTCTTAATACTCGTGAATTAACACCACTTTCATTAATATGTTTATCATACCAAAAAGTGATAGACATCTTTCATTTCTACTTTGGCTGTCAGACATTGTAACTATTGTAGCTGCCTTTTCCTTGTCTAAAATAAAGGACCATACTTTTTTGTTCAGATGCAGTATTTATTCAATTATCATTGTATTCTTACTTGTCACTGTTTCTTCTTAGATTGTAATCTTCAGAAAGTAGAAACTGTCAGTTTCTCTTTATGCTACACAAAGTACAGGGAAACCTTGATGACAAAATAGATTACATATATATTTATTTATATTTATTTTTTAGTTGTAGTTGGACACAATATCTTTGTTTTATTTATTTATTTTTATGTGCTACTGAGGATCAAACCCAGGGCCTCACACATGCAATGTGAGTGCACTACTGTTGAGCCGCAACCCATGCCCGTGGTGGGTTATATTTTATGGATAACCTCAGAGTTAAATAGAACACCATTTTTTTCTTTTATATTATGAAACAAAATAAAATTTATATTAACATTAAAAACTTTTTTAGACTTGTTTAAATATTCATGATACATCTCACCTAGGATGGGAGTCATGTTGATTTCTCTGTATTGGTATTATTTTATATTCTTGAATATTAAATATGTTTTATATGTATTTTTTCCCCATAGACTCAAAAAAATGCCTCAGTCAATGCCAGAATATGCTCTGACTAGAAATTATTTGGAACTTATGGTAGAACTTCCTTGGAACAAAAGTACAACTGGTGAGCCAACAAAATAACACCTTGTTTACATCCTAATCATCACTCAGCTCATGTAAATTCTCACTTCAAATGTTGCCCATTGACTGTCTTACTAATAAATTAGTTACTTTCCATTTTTGAAACTATTTTATTGAGTTATGATTGACATGTAAAAGCTGGTATTTACATCCTGATGAGTTTTAGGATAAGACTAATCCATGAAATCATCACTATCATCAAAGCCATAAATATATCTATCCTACTCAAAGTTTCCTCCTTCTCATTATGTTGTTATAATTGACTTTCTTTCTGTGTATATGTGGTGGTGGTGGGTGATGTTAAAACCATGGAGCATAGAATCCACCTTTTTAGCAATTTTTTTAAGAGAGAGAGGAGAGAGAGAGAGAATTTTTAATATTTATTTTTCAGTTTTCGACAGACACAACATCTTTATTTTATTTTTATGTGGTGCTGAGGATGGAACCCAGCGCCCCACGCATGCCAAGAGAGCTAGTTACCACTTGAGCCACATCCCTAGCCCCTTTTAAGCAAATTTTAAGAATACAAAATAGTATTGTTAGCTACATGCCCTAGGCTGAATAGCATGTCTCCAGAACCTATCTTGTATTATTGAAACTTTCTACCCTTTAACCATCACTTCACCATTCCTCTGAACTTAGTCCCTGGCAGTTACTGCTGCTGCTCTTAGCTTCTATGAATTTGATTGTTTTAAATTTCACATATAAGGGAAATTATACAGTATTTGTCTTTCTGTGTCTGGCTTATTTCATTTATCATAATCCCTTGTAGATTTATCCATGATGTCAAAAGTGACAGGATTTCCTTATATTTTATATATATTATGTATATATTTTATACTATATATATATATTTTATATATATTTTATTTATATATATTTTATACTATATTGTATTATATACTACTTTTTAAAATTCATGAATCTTTCAGTAGATGTTGAGGTGATTTTCACATCTTGACTATTGTGAATAATCACATTACAGTGAATATGGCAGTGTAGCTATCTCTTCCAGATTCTGCTTTCAATTCCTTTGGATATATACACAGAAGTAGGACTTCTAGATCATATGGTAATTCTATTTTTGATCTTTTGAGGAACCTCTACACTGTTTTCATAATGGCTATACTAATTTACATTCCTACTAAGAGTGTAGAATTTCCTTTTCTCCATATGCTTGTCACCACTTGTTAGATTTTTTATAGCTTTTTTTTTTAATAGCCATTCTAGTAGGCATAAAGGAATAGCTTGTGGTTTTTTGTTTGTTTTTTGGGAGCTGAAGATCAAACCCAAGGCCTTGCACATTCTATGCAAGTGCTCTCCCACTGAGCTACTTCCCAGCCCTTTGTGGTTTTGATTTTCATTTTCTTGATGATGAGTGATGTTGAGCACCTTTTCATTTATTTCTTGGGCATCTGTATGTCTTCTTTAGAGAAAGATCTGTTGAGGTCCTTTGCCCATTTTCACTCAGGCTATTTGCTTTTTGCTATTGATTTGTGTGGTTCATTGTATATTTTAGATATTAATCTCTTATTAGATAAATGGTTTGCAAATATTTTCTTCTATTCTATATATAGCCTTCTCATTTTATTGATTGTTTCCTTTGTTTAAAGAAGCTTTTTAGTTTGATGTAATTTCACTCATTTATTTTTTGCTCTTGTTGCCTTACTTTTGATGTCACATCCCACAATATTACCAAGACCAATATCAAGGAGCTTTTCCATGGTTTTATCTAGGAATCTTATGATTTCAGGTCTTATGTTTAAGTCTTTCATCCATTTTGGGTTGATTTTTGTGAGTGGTGTAATATCAAAGTCTAATTTCATTCTTCTGCATGTGATATCCAGTTTTTCCAACAGCATTTATTTGAAGAGACTGTCCTTGCCCTACTGTGCACTCTTGGCATCTTTATTGAAAATTAGCTGATCATATGTGTATATTTATTTCTGGGCTATTCTTTTCTGTTCTGTATGTCTGTTTTATGCCAGAACCATGTTTTTTTTTTTCTTTCTTTATTTTTTTTTATTGTTGGTCGTTCAAAACATTACACAGTTCTTAATACATCATCTTTCACAGTTTGATTCAAGTGGGTTATGAACTCCCAACTTTACCCCGTATACAAATTGCTGTATCACATCAGTTACCCTTCCATTGATTGACATATTGCCTTTCTAGTGTCTGATGTATTCTGCTGTCTGTCCTATTCTCTACTATCCCCCCTCCATGTTTTTTTTTATTACTGTAGATTGTAATATAACTTGACATCCAAGTGGTATGATTCCTCCAGCTTTGTTTTTCTTTCTCAAGATTGCTTTGGCCATTGGGATCTTTTGTAATTACATGTGAATTTTAGGATTTTGTGTGTGTGTGTGTGTGTGTGTGTGTGTGTGAAAAATGGCATCAGAATTTTGATAGACATTATCAAAAGGATTTGTAGATTCCCTTGGGAAATATGGACATTTTATCAATATTCTTCTAGTCTATGAACATGGTCTTATCTCTCCATTTACTTGTGTTTAATTTCTTTCACCAGTATTTTATAGTTGTAAGTTGCATTTTGTCAATGTTTTTTCTGCATCTATTGAGATGATGATATGATTTTTATCCTTTATTCTGTTAACTTATTATGTCACATTTATTGATTTGTGTGTGTTGAATAGTTCTTGCAATATTAGTGATAAATTTCATATCATGATGTATGACTCTTAATGTGCTGCTGCATTTGATTTGCTTGTATTTTGTTGAAAATGTTTGCATCCATGTTTATCTTTTTTATCTTAATTTTCTTTTCGTGTCTTTGTGTGGCTTTGGTTTAGGGGTAATTTTAGACTCATAAAATATATTTGGAGTATTCCTTTCTCTTCAGTTTTTTAAAGAATTTGAGAAGGATTTGTGTTCATTGTTCTTTAAATGTTTGGCAAAATTCACCAAAAACATTTGGTCCTGGGCTTTTCTTTTTTGGGAGGATTTTGATTACCAGTTCTCTCTCTGTTTTTTGGGTTTCTGTTTCTTGATTCAGACTTGGAAGGTTGCATGTATCTAGGAATTAATTATAAGTTATTCAATTTGCTGATGTACTGTTGTTTGGTAGTAGTCTCTTATGATCATTTTTTTTTTTTTTCGCGGGCGTGTACTGGGGATTGAACTCAGGGGCACTCAACCACTGAGCCACATTCCCAACCCTATTTTATTTAGAGTCAGGGTCTCACTAAGTTGCTTAGGGCCTCACTGTTGCTGAGGCTGGCTTTGAACTTGCAATTCTCCTGCCTCAGCCTCCTGAACAACTGGGATTATAGGTTTGTGCCACCGCTCCTGGTAGTTACCTGGATTTTGAAGAAAAGCCCAGAAGTTTGGTATATCCTGTCATTATAAAACACATTTTTGGCTCTCTGCCTGGAACCCAGCATTCCTGAGAATCTTGCCATCACAGAACCCAATTTCCCTGGCCTTTCACATAGACCTCAATTCTGACTACAATCAATAGTATAACTAAAAATTACATATATTACTGCTTAGCCAGGTTTTTGTGGACTATCTTGGGACCCAAACTACACTTAAGGCCATTTTTTCCATAAAGAAAAGTATACAAAAAATTCCAATAGCTAATTGAAAGAGTAGGTTTGTATGTTTCTTTTCTCCACTCTTCTTCTTTCACTGTCAGTATGAATATGTCACTGTATAATAATATGCACTAACAACCACCTGACTGGTGAATTTATTTTGACTTCCATGGCCTGGTGTTTAATTTATGAGTGTTTTATATGCTAAAAGCATATTAGTAAACCTGATGAAAGCTTTACTCTGGAAACAAAGCCTAATTCAAATGCTTCTTATAATACTTTAATGAATACAGTTTTTCTGGATGGCAATTAGGGGATTCTTTACAATGATTTTTTTTAACCTAGCACTTCCATTTATAGAAGATTAGCTGAAGGAAATTATTATAGCTATATATAAAGATTAGTTACAAGAATGCACAGTGTTTTCTTTATGACCAAGGATTTGTAAATAACCTAGATGCTCAGCATAGAGAATTAGTTAAATGAATATGGATAATTGTTTAATGCAATATTAAGTAGTCATAACATATTAGAAAAATACATGTGACTGAAAGTGGCTGTAGAAGAGTAAATGAAAAAAATTATAGAAAGCGTTATACATTCCCATTTTAAGAAATAAGTATGTAAGTACACATTCACACAGCCTAGAATAACATACCAAAAAGAAGGTAATGATGATCTTTGGGGGATATGAGATTATGGGTTACTGTTTTCTTCTTTTATTGATTTCTTCAGATTTTCTGGGATGGACACATTTGTTCCCATCAAAGGAACAAATGCCAGCATGAATAGAGTATGTGCAAATTGTGTCTGCATGAAAATAGTGTGTATCTAGAAAATCATTCCAAATAAAGTGAGCATGGTGGTTTATTTGTTCTTTTTAGCTATATATGAAAGTAGAGTGTATTTTGACATATTGTAAATACATGCAGTATACCTTATTCTAAGTAGGATTCCATTCTTGTGGTTGTACATGATGTTGAGTTATACTTGTCATGTATTCATATAGAACATAGAAAAGTACATCCAGTTCATTCTACTGTCTTTTCTATTCCTATTCTTCCTCCTTTCCCTTTATATCCCTTTGTCTAATCCAATGAATTTATATCCCTCCCATCTTATTGTGTTAGCATCCACATATCAGAGTATTCGACCTTTGGTTTTTGGCGACTGGCTTATTCACTTAGCATGATAGTCTCCATTTCCATTCATTTGCCAGCAAATGCCATAATTTTATTCGTCTTTATGGCTGAGTAATATGCCATTGTGTATATATGCCACATTTTCTTTATCCACTCATTTGTTGAAGAGCACCTAGGTTGGTTCCATAAATTTAGCTATTGTGAATTGAGCTGCTGTAAACATTGATCTGGCTGTGTCACTGTAGTAAGTACCCACTATCTCTGGAGACACCAAATCTTAAGCAGAAAAACTAAACCAAGTGTAGGATCCAAGTTTATTCTTACCACATCTTTTTTTTTTTTCAAAAAAAAATGGCTCTTGCCAAGCTTGAAAAAGTTTGACCTGTTCAAATTATTTCTGTTGGGTTTTTTGACAGACCGCCTGGACATTCGGGCAGCCCGAATTCTTCTGGATAATGACCACTATGCCATGGAAAAATTGAAGAAAAGAGTTCTGGAATACTTGGCTGTCAGGCAGCTGAAAAACAACCTGAAGGGCCCTATTCTGTGCTTTGTTGGCCCTCCTGGAGTTGGTAAAACAAGTGTGGGAAGATCAGTGGCCAAGACTTTAGGTCGAGAGTTCCACAGGATTGCGCTTGGAGGAGTATGTGATCAGTCTGACATTCGAGGACACAGGTAAAATGTATCTCCCAGCCTAATCTCCAATTCTAGTTCTCATTTTGTTGACTAGAGCCTCTAAAACACTGAGGCACAATATTATGTCTCTCTTTCTTCAGGGACTATTTGTAGTATCTTGAATGGAAAGGACATTTACAAGACTTATATGCTAGCCTAGAGCCTCTCATCATAATGGAATACCTAAATTAACCTTGATATTTGTATGACAAGTGGGTAGCTATTGTATGCCTCAGCTTTTCTGAAATCTCATTTAAATGTGATTATAAATTACTTTATGATTGGATATTATAATGTCTTTGCATTCATTTTGGCCCAGTTATATTACATAAACAATAACCCATAAATATTTAGAGTTTAGAAAAACAATGGTAATAGTTAGGGCAGATATGAAGAGGAGGAATCTTGGGTAGCAAATTTCTTCTGCTTACAGTTTAACCTCCTTTATGAAAGCTGATTTGTATTATAAATACTAATAATAAAGAAAGATTAGCATATTAAGGCTTATCCTTGTATGTGTATATCTTAAATGTAGAACATTAAAAATATAGAAGCCATGAACTGCTTATAAAAAAAAAATGATGCTTTTTTTCGCAGGGAGAGTACCAGGAATTGAACTCAGGGGCAACTTGACCACTGAGCCACATTCCCAGCCCTATTTTGTATTTTATTTAGAGACAAGGTCTCACTGAGTTGCTTAGCACCTCACTTTTGCTGAGGCTGGCTTTGAACTTGCCATCCTCCTGCTTCAGCCTCCTGAGCTGCTGGGGTTACAGACATGCACCATAGCACCCAGCTAATGTGATACATTTTTTTAAAATATGTTTTTAAGTTGTTGATGATGAGCGTTTATTTTTATTTATTTATATGCAGTGCTGAGAATTGAACCCAGTGCCTCACACATGCAAGGCAACAGCTCTACCACTGAGCTACAACACCAGCCTTAACATCTTATTTTCCAATTCCCTGTTCACAGGTTATCTCTGACCTTAGGTGGGAATGGGAAACTGTTTCAAAAACTTTTCTTTGAGAAATGTTACTTTTATATTCTCTTATTTGTTCACTTACAATCAAAGAAGAACCAATTCAAGACTTTAATGAATAAGCAATGAGGGGGAACATCAGAGCAGAGAATTGATTTGGGTCATTGATTGGGTTATAATGACCTGACTAAACATTGTCCCATTGTGTTTCTTTGTATTATTCTGCATAACTTAAAGGAAGTTTCTTTCTGGAAACGTCAAAAGATATTTTTGTTGCCTAGACTTTCTGATTCTCACTTGTGCCACTAGAGGCTGTAGTTTGCTTTCATAACAAAATTGGCATCTCTTGGACCAAAGCTGGATCTAGGGCCACAATCTTCTGACTTTAACTATAGAGCTTTCAGGAGGTATTCCTGATTTAAGTGATTTGATTTATACCTTACATTGTTTTAGTTATTTTTTTTCTTATCTGTAGCTTAGTTTTGTGTATGTATTTGATGAAATTTAGAGAATCAGTTTGTGGCATTAATGTTATGAGGAAGTGGTATAATAAGCATTTGACACGTAGGTAATTTGTTCTTATTTCTTTCTATAATTGTATTGATTATTCTGAAGGGTTTAAAGGCACCCAGTATATGACATACAGTAAGCATCACTAAAAATTAGCCTCATTATTGTTTTAATTCTAAATTCATAGGGAATAAGTCTGGATTTATATAGTTTGGTATGATTTTTGATAAGCCTTAAGCTGATTTTTAAGTTGCATTCTAAAATATTTATTATATTTTCAGCATTACTATTTAATTTATGTGACAGAATTGTGAAAATGTATTTGTCTATTACCTGGTGGTAGAGAATGTATACTGTCATGCATCTCATCACTTCTTAAGAATAAAAATTGTTGGATTTAAACAGATCTCCTTTTAAACTCTTTACTGATATATTAAGTGTGTTCATTTTTTTCGAGTAAGTATATTTTTGTGTGTGTAATACTAAATCTAAAGAAAATAAGAATTTACTTTTTAAGTCTTTTTAAGGAACTTGTGTTATGATCACCACTGCTTAAAATATTTGTAAATATAAACTGTTTAGAAATGTATGGCTTGCATAGAGATCATGATTATTGCCAAATCATTCCATTGAACCTGATATTAGATTAACCTTCTTGGAAACTATTCCTTAACCATCCCTGTTCAGATGTTTCATTAAACACTACACAGCCTATCCTTGTGCTATTAAAAATGACCACTCACCTCTCTGCTAAATTATTAAAGCCTGGTGAAAAAAATTTATTTGAAAATCTATTTGAATAGATGGAGAGTAGTGTGTGGTTGTTGAGGAATGAAGAGGGTGAGAGAAGAGTATGCATTCATGTCAGAGTAATGAATTGAAGGTGACTAGGAACAGGGGAGAAAGAACAGTGGAGGATTATAGCACAGCCATGGGTGGCGTCTGTGGGAACATGTAGTTCCATGTGACAGTTGAGGCATTTTGGAAACACCCAGGTCTTGGCATTTGAGTACTGGTCACATGCTCACAATTAGAGTTCATGAAAAGTTTTGTTTTTCCTTAGCCTCTGAGTAGGCACCACTGTTCTGCAGTCTTAAAATAGCCAAGGAGAAACAGAGCTGCTTTATGTCATCTTCCTTGCTTATTCTCCTGATTTTATCACTCACTGTCCTTATTTTCCCATGCATGAAACACCAGCCATTTGCTAGAAGTACCTGTTTATGTAAAGGAAGGTGCTAGTAGGGAATGGATGTTAAAAACAATGGAAGATATATATTTAAGTGATAATAAGGTGGAAGAAGGGGAAAAAAGGAAAGGCGTCATTTACATTTAAATATTAAACTGGAAAAATAATAATGACCTGACTAAACATTGGCCCATTGTGTTTCTTTGTATTATTCTGAATAACTTAAAAAGGAAAAATAGGCTAATGCTTAGTTCCATATTAACCCATATAGTTTTTCAGTCTTCTCAACATTTCACATTTGGTTTTATCTTCATTGGATTTTTTCTGTCTGCTTTTTAATGTTCCTATCTATCAGATTTTAAAATGAAGTTTTTATATTTAAATATTCCATTTAAATAATTTAAACCAGTTCACAGAAATTCAATATAAAATAACTTTTTTAAGATGAAATTTGTTTTCATTCTTTGTTCTTTAGTTAAAAAAAATACTATTGCTATGATATGTCTCAATCCCTGTTTCTATTAACTCTTTGGAGGAAATTTACCAGCTGTTTGTTTAGGTAATGAAAGTATATTATTGTAGGGAATCATTGACTTAATTTTTAAATATGATGAAAAGAAAAACAGTCTTGTGATTTCCTTGTTGAAAAATTTTCATATGCAACCCAAAATGGTGAAGTTATAAGTTAACAGTTTCATTATTAGACTCTAAAAGGGAAAAAAATAACTTTAGTAGCAAATGTTTAACATTTTTTAATATAGTATAACAGACATATAATGATTTACTTACTATTCTCCTTACAACCAAGTATTTGCATGTAACTCTTTTTTGCCTCTCTAAAACAAGTTTATTTTAAGGCCCCAACCCACATTTCCTCCATTAATTAAAATGAGTAATGATCTTTCTTTTTTCTAAATTAGCCATGTATTATCTATTTTGCTCCTTTGATGATTAAACAATATAGACCTCTGACATTTCTAACATACATCTATGGAGATAAAACATAAATCCAGTGAGCATCTGGAATCTGGAAACCTTTTAGCTGCTCCAATATCCAAACCTTTTTGAGCACTGATATGATGCCCCTAGTGGAAAATTCCACACCTGACATCATGTGATGGGTCTAAGTCAAAAAGCAGGTGCACTAAAAGTATTATACAAAATTTGCCAGTTGCAGTGGTGCATACCTATAATCCCAGCCACTTAGTGTGCAAAAACAGTAGGATCACAAGTTTGAGGCCAACCTGAGGACTTAGCTCAGTGATAGAGTGCTCCTGGGTTAAACCCCCAGTAATGAG